TCATTCCTTTACTTGTTTATTGTCTATCAATCCCATTTAGGATTGGCAGATAAAATATAGACACCATAGCTAAGATTTGGAAACAGCCTAAATGCCCATCAGCAGAGGAGTGGATTAAAGAACTGTGTACATATACACAATGGAATACTACGCTGCAGTAAAAAAGAAGGAACTCTTGCCTTTTGCAACAGCTTGGATGGAACTGGAGAGCATTATGCTATGTGAATTAAGTCAGTCAGAGAAAGGTAAATATCACATTATCTCACTCATTTGTGGAATATAATGAACAACATCAACTGATGAACAAGGACTGATCCAGAGATGGAGAGGCATTGATTGGACTGTCAGGCCTTGCAGGGAAGGTAGGGGAGCGTGGAGGTAAGGGGGAAAGATCAAACAAATGACTTATATGCAAGCATATAGGCCTAACCAATGGACAGGGACAACAGGGGGGTGAGGGTATGAGAGGGGGTTTAGGGGGGTAGGAGGTAACGTGGGGTAAGGACACATATGTAATATCTTAATCAATAAAAAATATATTTAAAAAAAAAGGATATAACCTGATTTTTATGCTTATGATTTCACTAAATTTCTACAGTTTTATTTTTATGTGTACACATCTCTCTGTGTTTCTGTCTCTCTTTCTCTGCCTATGTGTATATGCACATTTACATATGTCAGCAGGAGACCAGGATTTATAGACACCATGGTCCATTCCCCAGGGTCCCACTGTGATGGTGGGCTATAATGCCCCTCAACCTTTTGTTCAGAGAGTGAGAGTATTAGCGTGGTTCTGGTGTTCTTGAAATAGCACTGGGTTCAGAAACAAGAGAGATTCACTAACACACTCAACTGCCAGTTCCGTTTGTTATCAACTCGGAAAAGCATTTTCCCTAATGTCAACGGAGAAGACAAAAACCTTTTGGAATCACCAAATCCCTAGTAGCTGTGTTGTGGTTATTAGCATTGTGCCTCCAAGGATGAACTCTCCAAGTGCCTGCTATCAACAAACAGTTTTCCCCTCAAGGGAACTAAAGGCAAAAAAGCAATTATTCCAGTTTGTCTCTAATTTGGAGGCGGGGGTGTAGAGTTGGCCACCCAACACCACCTGGGTTTTCTCCATAATCTATTAAGTTAGAACCCACACCCATTGCTCAGAGTGTTAAATAAGTATATGTCTATATATCTATCTTATTTGGGTTTGAAACAAGAATTCTTCTCCCTGTTGTGATGTATCTTTGAAACCCTTAGAGACTCCACCTGCTTCACTGTATTGTGTGTCTTCTAGAAAGAACTAGTGGAACCTTCTGATGCTGCACCTGAAAGTGTAAGTGTTCATCACCAAAAAAGGCAATATCAGATCAGGAGTGGAATTCACTATTCAGTAGTGTGACTGCATGTGTTTGTGTATGTCCAATGTAAGTTACTGGTCTCGAGCCTGTCCCTGCAGCACTTCACACCAAAGTATAACACAGACCTCCATGTAGATTAATTGATCCCTAACTGATCCCCTGTCTAATTTTTCATAAAATAGAAAAAACATACTTCCTCTTGCTTGTCATTCATCTCCCATTATGTTTTATTGGTTTATCCTCCAATTTTATCCCAATTCGTTAATGATCTTCATCTTCTATAATCTAGATGTAAGCAGGTATCACTTTTGTACCTGAACTACTGCTATGTCATCCTAATATTTCTGCTAACACTCTTGCCTTGCTATCATCTGTTCACTGCCCAGGAGCCAGCATACTATTTAAATGTTTGCATTCATCCCTTTCCTTAAACATTTTCATGAGTGTTCTGTTGCTCTCAGAATAGAATACTAACTTTGCATTATGGCAGAAAAGATCTTACATATTCTGGTTTCCAGACAAATCTCCAACCTCATAATGTTCCCATGCTGATATGCTCCTGAATTTTCTGTTCCTCAAACACCATAGCCCTCTCTTCTCCACTTAACTAGAATGACCATTTTTATAATCTTCACATGACATGCTGTTATTTTTCAAGACTCATCTTAAAGAACACATAAGATAAGGTTTCCTCACCACCTTAGCCTCTTGTAATTGGACAATATCTATCAAAATTGTGAATGTACATCCCCCTATTCCATTTCTAAGTTTTTTCCTTCAAATACATATATTAATATGAAAATGGCATATGAAGAATGTTATTAGTGAAATATTGTTATCACCAAAAAAGGCAATATCAGATCAGGAGTGGAATTCACTATTCAGTAGTGTGACTGCATGTGTTTGTGTGTGTCCAATGTAAGTTACTGGTCTCGAGCCTGTCCCTGCAGCACTTCACACCAAAGTATAACACAGACCTCCATGTAGATTAATTGATCCCTAACTGATCCTCTGTCTAATTTTTCATAAAATAGTAAAAACTTAAAAAACACATAAGATAAGGTTTCCTCACCACCTTAGCCTCTCGTAATTGGACAATATCTATCAAAACTATGAATGCACATCCTCCTATTCCATTTCTAAGTTTTTTCCTTCAAATACATATATTAATATGAAAATGGCATATGAAGAATGTTATTAGTGAAATATTGTTAGAAACAGAAGAATATTAGAAACAACCAAAATGTCCATCATACAGCTACTTAGCCCTTTCTTAAGGTGTAGGTAAACTGATTACTATTAACATGGGAATGACTAGCGAAACTGAATGTGCAATTCATCTCAGGTAACAACATTAAATTAACAGGACTGTTAATGTAATAGACTAAAGAATGTATTTTAGACATAATTTCAGTCAAATTGGAAGAATTGGTAGATAATATTAACTTCAGTTAACCCCCAAGATGAATTTACTAATCTCAGATTTCTGGCATGAATTCCTAGACTCCTCAAAGTTGAACATGACCTGACATGATTGTCATTCTGATGGTTCGTGGTTTTTCCACAAGAGATTGCATTGGTTTCTAGGTGGACATATACTATCGTGACATCAGACCACCATTAGCCCATTAGTGGGCAAAAAGCATGAGTTATTCAGGTTAAAATTCATGTACTCACTAATTGTCATGTATCTATTACTTGTAGTCATTAAGGTTTCACATGCTTTCACATCTCCATCTCTTTTTCCATCTACAGCAAAACAGAAGAAGACCATGAGGGGGGATAATCAGAGCAGCGTGTCTGAGTTCCTCCTCCTGGGGCTCCCCATCCCGCAAGGGCAGCAGGGCGTGTTCTTCGCCCTGTTCCTGGGCATGTACCTGACCACGGTGCTGGGCAACCTGCTCATCATCCTGCTCATCAGGCTGGACTCTCGCCTGCACACGCCCATGTACTTCTTCCTCAGCCACTTGGCCTTCACTGACATCTCCTTTTCATCAGTCACAGCTCCAAAGATGCTCATGAATATGCATACTCAGGATCAATCCATCTCCTATGCTGGATGCATTTCCCAGGTGTACTTCTTCTTATTTTGGGGGGATCTTGATAGCTTCCTTCTCACCTCAATGGCCTATGACAGATATGTGGCCATCTGTCATCCCCTCCACTATACAACCATCATGAGTCAGAGCCTGTGTCTTTTGCTAGTAATTGTGTCCTGGGTCCTATCTTGTGCTAGTGCTCTTTTGCACACGCTCTTCTTATGGCCGTATTGGGGCCAACATCCTGAAAGTCCCCTCCACCAAAGGCATCTGCAAAGCCTTGTCCACATGTGGCTCCCACCTCTCTGTCGTGTCTCTGTACTATGGAGCAATTATTGGGCTGTACTTTTTTCCTTCATCCAACAACTCCAACAACAAGGATGTCATTGTGGCTGTATTGTACACCCTGGTCACTCCCATGCTAAATCCCTTTATCTACAGTCTCAGGAATCGGGATATGAAAGGGGCTCTAGGAAGTATATTCAGTAGAGGAACGTGTTCCCCATGATAAGCACTGTTCTCCCTATTCCTTGGGTATAAGACCTGCTCATCCTGCACATGCAAATGAACATCCTTTCCTCTCCAAAATCTAAGATTAAAAAGGTTCTGCCAGTAGTTTAACTATCTACCAGAACAAAACTGAGCGCCTTTAAAACTAAAATATGCTTCATACAAAATGCATCTTCCAAAATTTTCAATAAACATTGAAAAATTACAAAACATATGAAGTAAACAAAAGGGCATCATGTCAAGAAAGGGTCATAAGAAACAGATCACAAGAAAGCATAGACACTGAAACTGACCAAAAAATATGTGGAAGTAGTTATCATAAGTATGTTCATTACATAAAAGAAAAATGGTTATAATGAATGGGGCACACAATTCATGTAAAAACATAAAAACTCAACATTTCTCAAATTTGGTTAAAAGCATCAACTTACAGGATCAAGAAAGAAGTTAAGCAAACTGAAAGAAAGATAAATTTGAAAAAAAAAGAAATGTACCTACACACATCATAACTAAGGGTAAAAAGAAAACCAAAGGCAAAGAATAAACCCATGAAGATGCCAGAGAAAAAGGATACAACACACCTTAGGAAGACTGCTAAGGAATTAGGCAGGATTAGGGTGAGGAGGTTGAGTTGTGCAGGTACAGGATCAGTTTCTGTCTTTATTTACATTTTATTATTTTGTCAATCATATATTTTGGTATTAATTTTAATTTGGTAAAAGAGTGAATTGAGCTCATCTTAATTAAAAATTAATCTTTAAGTAATATTTGCTTTAATTACTGAAGTTTTGAACTGTCTCAAATTTTGCACTTGAGGCAAATTTTACACATATGCTTCTTTTTTAAAATATATTTTATTGATTTTTTACAGAGAGGAAAGGAGAGAGATAGAGAGTTAGAAACATCGATGAGAGAGAAACATCAATCAGCTGCCTCCTGCACATCTCCTACTGGGGATGTGCCCACAACCCAGGTACATGCCCTTGCCCGGAATCGAACCTGGGACCCTTCAGTCCGCAAGCCGATGCTCTATCCAATGAGCCAAACCGGTTTCGGCCACATATGCTTCTTGTGCCTTGCTTTAGTCTCACCCTAATCAGAAGCACTTAAAAAAAATCACACTTAATTTGTATGTAAGTACTAGAACTAATTCTTAGCCTTCCCCCAAAATATCTTAAGCTAACAAAATAACTTAAAACAATGTCAGTGAACTTTTCCAGGTATTTTAAATTTCCAATGGAGTTTAAGAAGTTCTGAGAGCATGTGTGGTTAATCCAATGATTGACTCTGCTACCAGCATTTAGTGGTCAGTGGCCAATGCTGCTGAATGGCTTGAAATGCACACGACATCATGCCCAACAAAGGACTGCCCTATTCAAAGTGTTAAGAGTACCCCCACTGAAAAATACTGATAGCCAAACATCTAAATATTTCCCCATTTTCTTATGATCACTTTCAATGTTTCTTTGAAATACATGGTAGATTAAATTAATAATCTTCATAAAATATCTCAAAAGTACATCAAAACAAAACAAAACATGATGACCAAGATTGCTCTGTAATGTATTTTTATTTATATCTACTAGAGGCCCAATGCACAAAATTCGTGTAAAGGGGGCGGTCCCTCAGCCCGGCCTGCACTCTCTCCAATCCAGGACCCCTCAGGGGATGTTGGACTACCGGCAGTCAGACATCCCTCTCACAATCCGGTCAGCCTGATCGCCCCTAACTGCTCTCTCCTGCCAGCCTGATCAACCCTAACTGCTCTCCCCTGCCATTCTGATCACGCCTAACTGCTCTCCCCCGCTGACCTGATCATCCCCTAACTGCTCCCCTGCCTGACTGATCGCCCCTAACTGACTCTGCCTTGGTCCCCACCACCCTGGCTTTGTCTGGAAAGATGTCAGGTAGGACATCCAGAAGACATCCAGTCTAATTAACATAATACCCTTTTATTAGTATAGATTAGAATTGGAACATTACAAGCTCACAATTAGTAGATATTTGGATCTCCATTATAAGGAGATTGTTATGATGACCCAGGAAGTGCTTATAATTTCAGATCACTGAAATGAAAATAGAACTTTGAAGCATTTCTCAAAAGCACTGAAGTATATTATATTTTGTGATAAAACTAATTATTCTAAGCCAGGGGTGAGGACTGTCCATCCCACTGGCCATAAAAGGTCCACAAAATCATTTGGTCTGGCTTGCCAAGGCATTAGGGGTGAGTTCATTAAATGTTTGACCGAATATAGCAGGCTAATTTTTAAGTTGATAATTTTGTATGGCCTACGGGTGGTTATCAATATCTCAATGGCTCTTGGCAGAAAAAAGGTTTCCCACCCCTGTTCTAAACTAACATCAACAGGATTGGCAGGGTAAGGACCCTGGAATATACCTACTCTAACAAAAACTAAAATATCTAAAAATCCTATAAAAAAATAGTTTATTTCCCTATTTTTTTTTCCTAAGGACATGGGAATGATGAGATGAATTGTGGTCTCTTTCAGACTTGGAATCTAGAACACTTGGAAATAAAATACTGGATGAAAAAAATCTACATATTTTTTAATTCACAGAAATATTTACTTGTTCCATCCAACACACAGATTTCTTTTTACTTTTGAGTGATCAACCCCTCAATCTTAAAAACCAACCCTTTTTATCACTTCTTTCTGCCAGGCAAGAATCTGAGATCCAGGAAGTTGTCAGAATTGCATATTGCCTTTTTTCTCATTTTTCTGAAGTCTAGTTGCATTTATTGTACCCACCTTTGTGGGGATGGGGCATAGAAGCAAGAGTGAGAGAGGGGTGACAATAATATTCTTCTTTGGTTGCTACCATATTAAAGAGGTTTGACTTCTCTCCACCTGGATGATTGTTAAAACTAATTCATTCTTTTGTTGTCACTTCCAGGCCAGGGGATGTTCAGAGACTTCCATACTAGACTGCCTTCCCACAAATCCTCTGTGACATAGCTAAAGGACTAAGTATATTTTCTTCCTGTGAATGTTTCCCCTCCTAGCCCCTGGTTCTGGGGTGGTGCATCTCCTACTGATCTCTTACTCTTTCTTGGAATCTCCCAGGCTTTCTAATGGGTTTTCTTGGGAAGAACTGAAAATGGTTGCATATCAGTTCTCTCTCACACATAATCCACCTGTGGTCCATAGGAAACATGCTTTTATTGCCCCACTATGAAAATAAGTGAAGGTGTTTCTCAAATATAATTCATTCTCTTTCTTGCTCACTCTCACTCTTGCTCGCCTCCCATTTCATCTTTCCTATTGCTCTTCACAGTCATAAAAACAGGGGATATAGTATATCAAACTCTCTAAATGGTGCTGTTGAAGCTTCTCCAAGTTTAAGGTGAGGAGGAAGGCACATCCCCCAAAGGGAGATTTTGGGACTCACTGCTCAGCTTTATCCAAAAGAAACATCTTTACAAGAACCTCTCATCTCCTCCATCTCTTAGCATTTTAGATCCAGGTTCAGACGCTCAAGAGTTATGAAATTGATTACAGGGTATTTCCTATAAATATCTTTATTGTGTGCCTTACAACTCCCTTTGGTATCTGGTGTCTCTGAAATCATGGTGCCTCTGTTGGAACTTCTAGTTCAAGGCTGCTCCCTTTGCCTTGACCATCAGGCTGAGAGAAGACTTTGTGTGTCTGGGTAATTCTGATTTGTTAAGTCTCAGATAAAGCAGCACTTTCCCTGGGGAGTTTTTCATATAATCTCTGCCACTGGGCTGAGCTGATTATTCCTCCTCAGGACACAGCATTCTATAGAATTATTCTTGACTGAATCGCTGTGGAGTCAGACAGCCAAGATTCAAGTTTTCATTTCACTAACTGCAATTATAAATTGTCCTTCGCCTCTTTGAGCCTGAGTTCTCCCTACATACCTCTTAGGGTTGTTCTCAGGATTAAAGTAGATAGCTTTAATGCATATTAAGCTTTCTGACCGGTACCTGAGACAATGAATGTGACATTTATTTTGTTGCTGAATATCTGCATGTGTTGGAGAGAAAGGATGTGTGAGATATAATCCTAAAGGACAGGAATGCAGTGTGTTAATTATTATGTAAGGAGAGTAAGATTTAATATGTTCTCCCTTAAACTTATAGAAGGGCTCAGAGTCCCTAGATGTGTGGGTGCCTGGGGGAGAAGACGCCATATCATCACCAAAATGAAAAATTCTTTGAAAATGAAGGTGTGAAAGGCCAAACACATTTTACAACTTAAAAATTGGGGGAAGGACCAGCCCTGGCAGCTTCTATTTAATGATACCAGCCAAAGTGACAAGGTATCCTCCAAGTATTTTATAGTCCCCATTATTAAAAAAAAAGAGCAAATTAAGTCCTATAAAGCACATCCTATTTTACTATTCCCATAACAAGTCCAAGAATAATGTCAGCCAAGGTTTGTGATTGATTAGCTATAGAAGGAAGACAAGTGAGCTCTGCTTTTAATAATTTATATTTACATGCTATTAAGGAAATATGATCACATGAAAAAGAAAGTATCAGCTGGATGTTTTCTTATGCAAGAATTTCCTCAGTGCCCCTTTCATGTCTTTATTTCTCAGGCTATAAATAAAGGGGTTCAGCATGGGAGTCACCACTGTGTACATCAATGAAGCGATTATGTTATTGCCATTGCTGTTGTTGGATGAAGGAAGAAAATATAGACCTATAATTGCCCCATAATACAAAGTCACTACTGAGAGATGAGAACCACATGTAGACAGAGCTTTACGGATACCCTTGGCAGAGGGAACCCGGAGGATGGTGGCCCCAATATGACCATAAGAAACCAAGATGCATAAGAATGGAAGCATAATGGCTGTTAATCCTGCAGTAAAGATTACCAGTTGGTTGAGAGAAGTGTCTGAGCAGGACAATTTGAGCAGGGCCGCAAGGTCACAGAAGAAGTGTGGGACAGTGTGGTCAGCACAGAAGGACAGACGGGCTAGGAGGAGGGTATGCAAAAGAGCACAAGCAGAAGCAATGACCCAGGACCCAGCCACCAGCATGACACAAACGTTCTGACTCATGATGGTGGTGTACTGCAGAGGGTGGCAGATGGCCACATACCTGTCATAAGCCATTGATGTGATCAAGAAACTGTCCAGATCAGCAAAGAGTATGAAAAAATATGTCTGTGAAATACAGCCTTCATAGGGGATAAATAGGTGCTGGGTTTGCATGTTTGTGAGCATCTTAGGGACAGTGACAGATGAAAAGCAGACATCAGTGAAGGCCAAGTGGCTGAGGAAGAAGTACATGGGCGTGTGCAGGTGAGAGTCCAGCCTGATGAGCAGGATGATGAGCAGGTTGCCCAGCACCGTGGTCAGGTACATGCCCAGGAACAGGGTGAAGAATAGGCCCTTCTGCCCTGGCGGGATGGGGAGCCCCAGGAGGAGGAACTGGGACACGCTGCTCTGGTTCTCCCTCCTCATACTGGTACCCTAGCTGGAGCAGACTGGTGGAAAAAGCTGAAGGAAAAGGTGGAATTCCTTGGAATTAAAAAAATGATAGTTGTGACATAGCATAATAGAGACATTCTTTTGATTTAGAGAATGTCTTCATATTTTCTTACATTTTATGTATATTTTGCTGAATAAATGTAAAAGAAGTATAGCTTAGGATATACAACCACTTTCTTTCTCAATGTGGTCCCAGTCTCTGTAAATGATAATATTAGTAGTTAATGTTTATTAAATGTTGTTTTGTGCCCTGGTCTAATAATTTACATGCAGTAAGTGACTCAACAATCTTAAGTATATGAATTAGATTGGTACTGTTATTATTTCCACCTTTCGGATGAGAGAGCTGAGGCAGACAGTCTCACTCTCACAGCGGTAAGAAAAGGAGAAGCTGGGATTTGGACCCAAGCATTTTGACTCCAGAGTTTGTCCTCTTGAAACAAAGCAAATTATCTAATATCAGAAATCTCATCGGCCTTCATAATTTTGTGCATATTGATCTGTTTAACTCTGTATCCCCTGCTTGTCTACATATCCCATCATTATTTCTAATTATTTCATTGATTGTAGAACAAGAATCTGTCAGATAATTAATGCATACACAATATAAATTTGTTGATCAAATAAAAGATGTCTCATCCAATTAAATTCGTCATGACAGCCCATTTAAGAAACTTACATCAGGTCTTATTCAAGACCCCAGTTTAGTCCTAATAATCCTAATAACATGGTATCACATTCAAAGAAGTGCATCTAAAAGCCAAAAATAATTTTAAAGAGGAATTCTAATCCTTCCAGTGTTTTTAAATTAACCTACAAGAGATTTATTTCCTAACCCAGATCATTCATTATTGAAATATCACTATATATATAAATGGTAAAGACAGGAATTCACTATAACATATCAAATCTTACCATACAGCTACATTGATTACAACAAATAATGCATTTTTATGAAGGTAAACCAATAAACCAGTGGAGGAAAATAGAGAGCCTAGACACAGACACATTTATAAAGAGGACTTGGTAACTGACAGAGTGGCACTATAAATCAGTGGAAAAAAAATACAGACTCTTCAAGTAATGCTGCTAAGGTAGTTTTCCTTCCATAAGGGGAAAATAACATTATATCACTACTTCACACCATACATAAAAATAATCCCAGATATATTAGAAACTTAAATGTAAGAAGCAAAATTTCAAAAACATTAGAAAAATTTTGTAAATTATAATATGATCTTAAGGTAGTAACACATTTCTGAATCCAGACTCACCAGAGCATACTGCATAAACATAAATTTGATTGCATTAAAATAAAGTTTCTTTAGAACAACCACTTCCACCATAGCAAAGCCACAAAGAGGCAAGCCATGGATGGAGAAGGCACACTGCCCAAATCAGTAAGAGATTAGCACTCACGATACATGCAGGATTCCTGTGAGTTAATAAGGACAAGACAAAAAGCTCAATCAATATGAGCTAGAAATTCACAGAAAAAAAAATGAAGTCAAATAGTCAATACACTTTCCAACATGAGGGAAAGAAGCAGGAGCAAGAAGACAGTGTCCAGAGGTCTCATCATCACTTTGTCCACTGGATTCAGAAGGCCACCATATGCCACCATACCTGGATTCCCACCCCAACTGAGTGAGAGAGAGTGGAGT